GGGGAGGACTGATTTGCTAATAAAGAAAAGGTGTAGGAGTGAAACTCCCCCTCGACCCCGCTTCCTCTTAAGTTGCTTTGTTTTACAGAGTATGGGGTAACTTTGAAAACATAGATGCCTAATTTGAACCCACAGTGTATTTAAACAAATAATTACATGTTTAAAACCATTTGTGCATGCATAAAATATACATACATATGCATATATTGTGGTTTTAACTATGTTTGCAGCTTTGGCCTAAAATATGTTTACTGTTTGTCTAAATATTATTTTCACACGAAAAAACAAAGTATATTTAAAATGTTGATCCGTAATTGGAGAGGGCTCTAAGAGCACTTGTTTTCACCAAGGCTATTAAAGCAGACAATATCATCAGTGTCATGTACCCAATTTGCTACCTGTCGTCCACCAAAACATTTAAAATACCCAAAGATGTCTTTTTAATACTGTAAAATACTTGTGACTAATATGAATATATAGTGGTCACCATTAAGATCTTGACAGTTGTTGCACTGCAACTCTGACCTGTCTATGAGACTTTCAGTTTTCTCTGTACTTGGACTACTGCAGCATATGCAATTCTAAGCTGAAAATATCAAAACTTTAATGGTAATTGCAGTACAGCAAATGTCTGTACTACTTCATTTTTAATATCTGGTTTTTGTGGGCTTAAATCCATGTTAGTTGAATGACTGGTGTTACAAGTGACTATCTATTGGTGTAAATTAGCTGAAGACTGACTGTTCCTTCCTTTAATAGTGTATGTTTTCTGCTACTATCTGATGTGCTTAATAAATTGCTTTTTAAATACAGTATGTATTCTCTTGAAATGCCTAGTTTTTATTTTTGTATTGGTTTGGCATGTAATTATATAAATGTACAAAAAAAACGGGAAATGCTTATAAGCATTGAGGGATGTTCAGTGCAACTTTATCAACCTAAAGTGGTCACTAGATGGCCTGCTAGCATAGCCTTTTTACTGAAATTTCATATGGTTTGAAGACATATGGATTCTTCTTGCTGCTGTTTTTAATCTAAAGTGATGTTTTAAATACTGTTTTTATATCTACCAGGAACACTAGATTTACTAATGCTATAAGTTATTTAAATGTCTGTCTCTTTGTGAAATGGTTTAATGTTCCAAAGTGAATTTTACACTGCACATAAAAAACAGGTTTCACAAACGAATTTTAACGTGCTGTCAAATATATCATTGGGTAGTGTTCACCCCCTTGGATGGGGGAGTGTGTGTGTAATATACACATTATACAGTTCAGATAGAGATTTTAATAGACCTAAAATATGACTAAGTTTAACTTTCAAAGGGAAATTTGGGTGCAGGAAATAAGGGTGGGGGGAGAGAATGTCTTAACGTTATGTGAGAGCACAATGTGTTATTAGCAATATACCAAACTGCTTTTACATTTAAGGAAAAGAGTCCTTCACCTCCCTTTAACGCTTATGGAGCAGATTGAAAGTTGTGCTTGTTTTTTTTGTTTGTTGATTTTTTTGAGGGGGGGGGGAGATGGAGCAATGTTTTAATTCTATCATTAGTTGAAGCTATAATTTTCTCATAGCCATGTGATGGAAGTTAAAATAAAAAAACAGAGGCTAAGCATTAAGATATATGAAAGATGACCAAATAAACATTGCAAAATTTTATTTTTAAAAATGAGAGATCTGGCAGCAATAATAGATACATATCATGGGGGACATAGTCTTAGCTGGATCCTATGTAACTTTCCCATTTAATTATGAATGTAATTGATTCTGTATTTTCTCATTATATTCATAATTATTAAAATTAAATATCTTCATTTTTGTTTTGCATTCTGCCTCTGCAGTAGATCAACGTTAAAAAAATATTTTTACTAAAAACTTTATGGTAGAAAAATGTATGAATTTTGCAAAGCTGCACTGTGGAGTTTAAGATTTTTCTTAAAAATAAAGAATGTAATATTTAATTTTTTCATGTGTACAAACTTGTAACAGAAGTTAACAGAATATATAACAGAATAACTATCAGACTGTTCCCATGAACAGATTATTATAACTTGTAATCTTGTTTAGAAACTGTAAGGATTAGTAGATAGATCATGGAGACTTCTTAGGTACCATCTTGCTCAACTGGAATTGTCTAGAAATGGTATTTTCTTCATGTTAGGGCTAACTAAATTGGATTCTTCCTGAAATACTTAAGGGAACATATTGACATCCTAAATATTATTAATGATCCACTTTTTGCTCTTTTCCTAGTGGACTATGCATCTCTGCAGCTTTTACCTTTAGAATCCTCGCTGTTGCTTGGCTCGCAACATTCTTATGAGGAGGTCTAGATGGTGGTCTCTTGGGTCCTGCTTGCCAATATCGCTCTCAAATTGAATAACTATATTGAGCTCTTTGAGAACCCTCCTTCAATTTTGCCTGGAAGCATAGATGACTATGGCTATGTTCCTGGGTTAGTCAATGACTCATGGTTTAGCAAGATTGTCTAAAATGGTTCTTTATGTGCCATAAGTTCTTTATGTGTTATCTTCTTAAGTGGAAGATAACACAGTATTATTAATGTCAACATATGCCTTTTGAATCTTATATACCTCAGCATTTTATACCGCTGTCCATCAGAAGATGACTGAGAGCCAGGTGAGAGATTTGATCATGGGCCTGATATGCTCACAGTGGCCTGAGCCATGAAGAAGGTTAGCAGATGCTTTCTGGACCATCTGGAGTTTGTGCATAGGCTTCACATTCAGCTGTAATCTAGCCTAGATGTGACAAGCGCATGGACCCTTGTGACCAGATTATTATCCAGGAAGAAGGGATGAAGTTTCCTAGTGAGCTGGAGGTGAAAGAAGCCATTTTTTAGAAACTGATGTTTCCTGTTCATTCAAGCTTACAGAGGGGTCAGAAAGTATCCTGAGGCTTTCTACCACATTGATGGATGGCGGCTGTGTACCTTCAGTGGAAATGTGAAGACAGTGTCTTAGAGTATTTTTTAGGGCTTCTTGAGCGTTGGCATGTGTGATGGGGCCAAACTCAGTCAGGTGCAGTGGAATGGAGAATACTATCTGGTCAGTGCTGGAATCTTCTTTCCCAGGTAGCCCAATATGTATTCAGTTGACCTTGTCAGCAAAGTATGAGGACTGCTCTTCACATCAGTCGATGCTTGAGTCTGGTGTATAGGATGTGCAGTCTGGGTTGAGAAGATGGTTTACTATGCAAATTAACTCTCATAGCCATGATTCTGCTGTGTTGTTTGTGGAGGAGTAGAATGCTCATTTTGCCTTCTTTTCTGCAGTGGCATGTATTAAGACTGTGCAAATCTTAATGAACAACTAATAAAACTAACTGCTTTTGTGCCATGTATGTTTGTTTGAGCTTTCTTTTCACATAAACTAGTTCTTAGAGATGGCATTATTTTCACTCTTGTCTATGGAGATTTATTAGTTGTCTAATAACTGGCCAGACAGTCCTCTTTTTTCCATAACTACAGGTGCTTTATCACTTACTACTTCTCTGTCCCACCTTGATTTCTGCAAATGATACCTATTATCTGTCATGCTGTCTACTCAAATGATGCCAGTTGCCTAAGATGCAGAGAACATTCCTTTTTGCAACACCGAGAACAAACTTTCAGCAAATTGGTGCTTCTGTAATCTGTATATTAGTTGCAGGAAATGGAAGAATTTAGGAATAGATTTCTATTCATGCTATGCTTTTGCAAATGATTTATTTTAAAGCTGTCTGGACCAGTTTTTTTCCTGCATCAAAAACAAAGCACAACTAAAAGTTTTGCAAAAAGGGACATCATAATCTAAAAATTACAGTAGCTGACTGAGTGACGAATGTTTCACTGACTTTAGTTACTAATACGGCTGGACCACTTGGTTGGATTCTGAAACTAGCCATCATTGGAGAGGAATTAATTTTCTGGTGAAATTTATATGGTATTCCTCCTTTCCCTGCTTCAAATATTTATCATTTTTCTCTAAGATGGTGAATGGATACTTGTGTGTATCCTGTACATCTCGTGGAATCTGTTACACATTGTACATTTTTAAAATGGACAGACATGGAATAAACATTTTATTTTTATTTTAGACTTTAAATGATGTAGATTTGGATTTTGGGTTATAGCAGAAGTCTATCATAGTACTTTTATTGTTGCTATCTGACTGCCATGTCATACGTCTTGAACTTGGGAGGATAAGGGCTAGAGAGAGACTGAGGATGACAATCCGTATACCAAGAAACAGAAGAGGAAGCTTGAAATTTCTTCATCTGTGCAGTTTTCTCTTGTCAAGACTTCAGTTCAATTCCTAATCCTACAAACACTTATGTACATGTGTAACTTTATGCATAGAGTGTTTGTTTCCATTGAACTCAGTAAAACTTCTTGCGTAAGACTACTCATGTTAGTGCTTGGATTGGTGCACTTGTATTATCTCACTATTTACATGTAATATTTAAATTTGTGCAGGTGTTTTGTGGTAATCAAATTTGCTTGAGAAGCATACTTTGCTCCTGCTTTGTTAACCTTGCTAAAGTCTCCTGTGCAATTAGTTGCTTAAATTCCAAAACGACTGTTCTCTTTCTGCATAAGTAAATAAAGTTAAAAAAAATATTATGTGCCCTGACATTAGCTAATTTTGTAAATGACAAATAGAGTACTAATGACAAATTGTATTCAGTTCAGTGATAAATAGTTACTCTGTAGTTAAGAGTGTATACCATACTATTTAATTATAAGAGTTCAGAAAAAGGTTCCTTATCAGGGCACTTCACCTCTGGAAAAATTAATACTTCTAGCCAACAACTTGGCTAGCAATATATCAACATTTTAGAATACATTTGGTTTTCAACTGAATAAAAATGATTTAAGATGTATACTGCTCAGTAGAGAGATTCTGAAACAATAAAATATTACCTTGACCATATGTTCAGCAGCTGAAAAGCATTTTGAGTGAGTATTGAATTATGATTCTTTTTTTTTTATGTAGGACATTGTACCGGTGGATGCCTCTTATGAGGTGAAAGAGCTGTATGTGCCAGAAAACAAGCTCAAATTGGCCAAAAGTGATGCAGAGACTCTGCTAACGCTGGAAATAAATAAGGTAAAGGAGTAATGGTATTGTGTTTCCGTGATTTGATTTCTGATGCTGAAGCCAGAGCCTAATCTGTCATTCAGGAGGTATAGCATAGTACCTAAACTAGTTACAAACTGTAACTTTTTAAAAATTGCCACACATTTGCTTTTCTGTTCTTTTGGTATCTTTGGGTCTCCATGACCTCAAAACTAATTGTTAGCATTTAAAATAAATTTTAGTTAATTCCCTTAACATCTCTGCCATATGAGTTGGATGGTCTGGATGATATATGTTTTCTAGTTTCCTAAGCAAAGCAGTCTCCTACCTGCTTTTATCGATAGCTTTTTGTATAAGGTCTTAATTATTTTACAAATGTCCAGGCTTTTTTGTTTTTCTTAAAAACAAATTTATGCTATAGAAGGTGACTCTTAGTAATTTCATCCTTTTCTTTTTATTAACTGAGTTAGATTATTTTTTCCTGTCACTTATTTTTCTTTTATGCCTTTGGCTATCATGACCTCACGCTGCTTTTTCGCTCCCCTTGGCTTCCCTGCTGGATGCGTTGACCTACTCTGTTCTTATTTGATTAATTTACTACTCTTCCAGTTCAGATTTGAGCCAGTCTTTTGAAAACACAGACTGGCTGCTTTTTGTTCCTTGTATTCTTCTTTTTTCAGAGGAATTGGGCCATGAGCCAGCAAAGCACTTAAACACAGACTTAACTGTAAGCACATGAGTTTTCCTATTAACTTTTTAATGAGGTTACTAGTGCTTAAGCATATGCTTAACTTTAGGTGCTTTGTGGGATCAAGGTCTCAATCTGTCTTGGAAGGATGTCTTAACATTTCCAGTCATTTTTTCCACACCTGTGGATTTTAACACTTCCCCTCACTGCAGTTTACTAGATTCCTTGCTCTGCTGCCTTCTGTGAAGTTATCTGTTGCTTTTCTGAATTAAAGTAGCTTATTGGTCACTAGTACCAAGCTTCCTTAGTCTCTTATTGTAAATTGCATCCTCTCTATTGGTAAGAAATAGAAAAATAATTCCCCCTTCCTTTTTTTGTTACTAAATACCAACCAAGTATTCAGCACAAGCTGTGGGAGAAATCTGCATTTTAATTGTCTCAACATGAGGTAAACAAAGTAGTAAATATTAGTCATGTATTTGTATTACATGCGCTCTTGCCCAACGGACCTGCACAAGCTCAGCAAGCTTTCCCTTGTGAAGAGCTCTCGACTCAGTCTCATTAATGTACATACAGAAATAATAAAACGGTCGTGATACATCTCACTGTGTGGCCTTTACTAAGTGTTAAGGGAGGAAATTCCCTGTAAACTGATATCAGTCTTTTAAACTAAAATAAATGTTAGTCTTCTTATTATGAGGCTGACAAGGGAAAAAGTCTTAACTGCTTTTTGCTATAAAAATACCACTTCTGATCGATTGAAAGATTTTTAACAATTACTCCCAGGATTATTTTTGTTTTGTGTGTTTCTCTTGTCCTCTTGCTTGTATGTAAGTAGCCCTATGTACAAAACATGGCCTTTTTCATTGCAGAACTATCTGAATTCTGCTAATTTGAACTACTAAAGGCCTTCAGTATACAAACTAATTGCAATTCATTTATTTCTAGCATAGCATTGGAAATTCAGCTAATGATATGCTGGAAATGTGAGAAGTAGCTCCTATTTATAAATTGTGAGGAGGAAAAAGGCATTTTTTTCTGAATGAAGAGACTTTGAGCTCTATGCTACTGATGATTAATGCTCTCTATTAAAAGCCGACTTACACACACATTAGATTTACTATGGAGGATATATCTGTATTCTGAAAAACATTCTCAAAGGTTACTTGGGTCAGTGCATGGAGTTCACTGGTGTCTGTCTCTGTCTCTTTACCAGGTGGATATGCAATGGGTGCAAGTACTGGCAGAGGGTTGGGCTACACCACTTAATGGCTTTATGAGAGAGAGAGAATACTTGCAGTGCCTTCATTTTGATTGTCTTCTAGATGGTAAGGCATTTCAATTTAAAAATACTTTTTAAAACCACCCGAAGCACCCAGCTCTGTAGCTATGTTGTGGTACGTTGATTTGTCGTGGGAGAGAACTGCATTAGATGTGTGTGTCCTCTCCTGAGGACAGAGAATCAAAACTTGCAAATGATTAAACTTAATATGAAATAATATCTTGCTTTTAGCTCCCGCCTTCTTGTGACTGGATTAGTTTCGTATTCACTTTTGAAAAACTTTGTCCTTCTCTAGTCTTGTTAATTTTCAGCATTCAGGATTACTGATAAATAACTGTTAGTATGTAACTCTGGACGAAGATTGTCTAAGACATGTGCTGTGGCTGTGCTGGAGTGAAGGGAGTGCAAAATGATTCTCTGCTGAGCCTTGGAGCCATGGCAGACAAAACCAAGAAGAAGGTTCATGCCCCTTCTGGTCCTCTTTGAAGCTCTGCTTGACTCCAACCCTGTCTGATTTTGCTTTTGCCTCTTACAGCTCCCCTTTGCTACAGAAATGACTCCCGTCTCATCATTTCCTGCTGCTATTCTTTGTCTGCCATGCTGCCTCCAACACTTCTTACTCCTGTCTTATCCTAATATTCCAGATACCTAGTCTCTCTTCATACAAATACCTCTTTAAATCCTCTTATTTTTTACAAATCTCTCAAATGCTAACCTGTATAATAAAATGCCATCATTATTTCATACTCTTCAGATTTGCATCACCCTCTGAGACTTCTCTATCTTTCCATACTATTCCATTTCTTCGTCTCTGCCCTGTAAAGCTCATTCGTATAGAGACTTCAGCTTCTTTTTGCATCTTGTACATGACTGAATATACTGTTGTTTAACAAAATATACATCCTTTTGTAGTGGTACTATAAATGCAGCTAAAAAGTTTAGTGAAAAGAGTTTTAAAATGGTGGAGTATTTTAAGATTCTTTGGAAAAATATCTGGTTACTGTTTTTGAAACAGAATGTATCTCTGTCTGTGCATAGCTGTCCTGCAATTCTGTTCTTTTGGCTGGTTGTATCTGTAAATGCAACAGTTTTCAATATTGCCTCAATTTCTTCCTTTGATTCTTATTTAGGTCAGACACATGGAGAGAGTAGCACTGTAGGGAACATGTGGGAAGAAAGATGTTGGGGTGAGGGGTAGAAACAGCTGCACCCCTGTCAGTACACCTACAATCTATCCTTTGATCACAGATTTTTCAGCATTTCAGAGGCCTGTCGTTTCACAGATGGTCATTTGAGGGCAGGTCCTTCAGTGAGGTAGAAAAGAAACTTCAATTTTCAGATTGAAGGTAGAGAGGAAATGTAGTGCCTAAGGAGGTGATAGCAGCCAGTCGGTAGTGTTAGTTTGGTGGTATTCATTTTGAAACATGCTTTTGTCCCAAATCACTTCTTCTGTTCACCTGTTCTGTTCCTTACATTTTTCTCTTTGTGTATTACCAGTTAATTACAAGCTAAAATTATTTTGTAACCAATAACAAAATGCATTCCCCTGTTTTCCCCATTCTTTGTGCGAATAAAGCTTACTTCAGCACAATGCAGTTTCAAAGTACGTAGCCCCCAAATTTTTCCTTCATGGCTTAGTTTGCAGCCCTAGACTTGCTGCCACAGTTCTAGAGCAAATTGCGCTTTAGACCCCCATACAGTTCCTCTTGAGTGCACACCTCAGGCAACAGGCTATGTTGCCTTCACCTCTCTAGGTGGAACTCCATGGTTCAATCACTGCTACACTAGATCTCTGGGTTGCAGCCCGCACTGGTCCTGAACAGTATTAATATGACAGGCCCCAGTTGTGTTTAACACCTGCATGAAACTTCTGTCTGGGAAGCATTATTTATTCACCTAAAGATGCATAGCATTCAGAGACGTGAGTTAAAACAACAAAACACCTACATATCTGAATCTTACCTAAACCTTATCCTTTCCTTGAAAGTTTTGGGAAGATTCATTCAGCCTAGGTACCCTGACTTCCAGGCTGTGAGAGACACACTGCATTCTTTTTCTCTGTCTCTCCCACTTCATCTCTTCTGAGCTGCTGCTGCTTCCCACTCCTCCTTCTCTAGGCAGGGTTTTTTAACTGATGCTCATTTTGATCTCTAGGCTCTGGCTTTGGCAAAACAGCTCTGTAACTTGGCTGGTGCCTGGAAACAACATCTTTCCAATGAATGGCCTAGCCACTGCTATCTTAACTTCCTTGAAGTTGTTTAGCCCAGTGGTGGTGTTTCTATTGTTGTTTCACTTTCTGTTTGCTATTGCTAACAGCTCCTTTGATTTATTTCTGTGTAATCAGACTGAATAATATCAAGCAGGTAAACTGAGGTATATAGTGTAGTCAACACAATACAGATATCTCCCTCATTCTCCATACTTGCACACCTGAGGTTTTAATAAACTTGCTGCAACCTAAAATCAGCTGTCTTTAAAGGGACTCTTTTAAAAAAAACAACAAGGGGGTGGGGGAGATTTTTCCCCCCCTAAACTGCACATGCCTGAGTCCCCTCTGCGACATTTGTGGGTTTTACATTCACAGCTTCCAATTAAAAAAATTCTCTCTCCCATTGCTGAGTGAAGGGCCGAAACTATGGAGTGAAACTGATTCTGCTCAAAGTGCTTTCCAATGCACAAAGTGAACTGCATATGAGACTCTTAGGTTGATAAGGTGCCACAGGACCCTCTGTTGCTTTTTAGGTTGATAAGTTTAATATCAAAGTAACTGTGTTAATTATGTTACAAGTGTTTTTTGGTCAGGCTGATTATTATTTTTACATTGTCATTTTCAAAATAGGGAAAAGTGCAAAAATCAGCTTAAATTTTCAGAAATGACCTATGATCATGGGTGCCTCAATTTTTGAGGGTCTGTCTGGGGCCTTATTTTTTCCAGTGGGTGGGTGTCTAGCACCTTATAAAAATCAGGTCCTTTTAAAGAGGTTTCTAGTTGGACACCAACCCGGCCTTAATTTTCTGACCTATGTCATAAGGCTACTTAAGTTCCAGGGTGTTTGTATGCATTTATTAATGCAATTTTGCAAAATTGTAGTAAACCAGGGTTAGCAATTTTTGACTATCAAGTGAAATATTAATTATGTAACATTGATTTTTTTGCAACCAAGCCTTAGTGGTGGGCAAGTAGACTTTGGCTGATAAAAGGTTTGACACAATAAATGTTGCAACACAATAAATGTTTCTCTTTTGTACAACTAAGTGCTTGATAAGTGCTGCTTTATCCTTTGATTGCTTTGGAAAACAAAGAATCTGAATACTAAGACTAAATTCTGAGTGCAAGTATGCAGCACACCTTTCATTTCAGATTATATGAGAGACTGGGAATAAAAAAATATTGCATTTTCTCTTAATCTTTTCCAGCCAACTTCATCATTTTTAACTTCCTGACTCTAGGGGCAGGTTTGAAAGGTTTCTAAAATGTATTGTCCAAAGATGTGAGTTTAGCATAAGGCCAGAGATGAATTCCTAACCCCACTGAATTCATTGGCCAAACTCCTATTGACTTCAGTGGGGACAGGATTTTGCCCTAGGTGAATACTCTGGAGTTTCTCATTCTTATGGTAAGTATGACATTAAGACTTCAAGCTTTTGCAGTTAATTTACAATAACTAGTTCACTAGTCTCTCATAACCTAACTCCCTTATTGTTGTCAAGAAAAGTAGGACTTCCGGCATGTAGTAATGAAGTAAATCTTTAAAAATGAAGAGCACATGTAGCTTTAGAATTGTCAGGCTCTGGGCTAGTTTTGTGGGAAGTCGACAGTTGATAAGATTGCAACTAAACAAACATATGCTAAATGTCTGACCAACTCAGTTGTTAATCTATTTTGAAACATATGGGTTCAAGTAGTTCAGTCTGAAAATATGTTGGTTCTCTAAATATTGTAGTAGTAAAAACTTAACTTTTGAATAATTGAATAATATACACTAGCTGTTTTGACGTTTTTGACCACCTTCCATCACATTGAACTTTCCCAAGCATCTGACGTACAACTAACAAAAATGTTAGTGGGAACCAGAGGTTAAAATGCAGATTTGTGCCCAAATGATTTTTAGAGGATCTTCTGATTTAAAAGGTAACATTGAACAAGAAGCGAAGAGCCACCTTTTTTACTCCCTGAATGTCAGTTCTGGAACCACATACCCTAGTATGTAAGGCTATTCTGGAAGCCATAAAACATGGAATATCTTTAGACTCCAAGTATTTGTGTCTAGCATCAATCTTTTGACAGATAGTTCTGTCTGTGTAGATTAGAAAGTTTTGGTACCACTTTTATTAATGTATATGTTGATTGTGTCACAACCAATTTTTAAACATGCTGGTTCTTTCTCTAAGACTTGGTGCCTAGATTACTGTATAGCAACCTTGTATCTCATAGAGGAGCACAATCTCAAGTATTTTATTCTTTAGCACCAGTTAAGTGTGATTACTTGAACTATGGGTCATGGAATGTGTAGCTTGTATTATAACTTGTTAGAAAGAGAAGATTGGGTTTGCATATGCCATTTGGTAACCATTTGTTAAGTGTGTACTCTTTATCGTACAGGGGGAGTTATTAACCTGTCAGTGCCTATAGTGCTGACGGCTAGCCACGAAGACAAAGAGAGACTGGATGGATGTACAGCTCTTGCACTGGTGTATGAGGGGCGTCGTGTGGCCATTCTTCGTAACCCAGAGTTTTATGAACACAGGAAAGAGGAACGCTGCGCCCGACAGTGGGGAACAATATGCAAGGAACATCCCTACATCAAGGTTGTTTGAAAGCTGTTATCTAGCTCTAATTAAAGCTATCCTTTTTGTAACGTTATAGTTGCAAGTGGAGTAGAGTTGACACCAGCAACTGTTTACCTTGACCAAAAATTCTTTGCTCTTCTGTTTAATTTTTAGACAAAAGTAAAACTTTTTCTGTTCGATGCGGCTGATCTCTGTTGCATACTCTTCACTTGTTAGTGTGGCATTCTAACTCAATGGATGATCTGCATGAAATGTGCCATAGAATCGGCAATAGATCAGAGAAGAGAACTTTCTCCTTGGGTACACTTAGGAAATGCAGCCTTCTGTTCAAGGTGGGCCCAGATGGGTCATCAAAACTACTCAAGCAGCAGATGAACATGGTGCATATGGGGTGTATCTATCCTTCCTGAATGTATAGTGGTGGGTGGTTTGAAAATATTGAAACATTGCCTCCCCTCCCATAGCGATAATTATCTTTCCTGTTTCCTTGCACTCTGCCTACCACAATGTGTGTTCTGATCATTGAGTAGTCTTCATGACTGTGTCTTAAGGTTTGTAAACTCTGTGTGTTAGGGTTTGTAAACTCTATGTGGATACTGTACTAAAGATTACCTGGGTTATCCCTAGTTGAGATGTTTTTTGAATAGTCTTGTTGGCATGCTAATGACTCAAAACCAGCTTATTTTTTTAAATACTCAGACTAACCGTGAGTTTGTCCTAAAAAAGGAAAAGTTATTGATATGTTTTAAAAAAATCTATACAACTAATACTTACACAAATTTGAAAACTGCACACTGCCCTACTTTACATTAGCCTTTTTAATAATATAGTGCCGTTGAACATTCTTGCGGGAGTATGACTATATCTCGAATATTGCATATTTAGCTACAGCTAAAATTATTTCAATGATCATGCATTCCGTCCTGTACAATGACAGGTCCTGTGGATATGACAGATGGATGGTGAGATTGCAAGTTCAGTGAAAGCTGACAATTATATCGGTTAAAGAAATCCAAGACAATGGAATGCATACAACAGGTGAATGCCACCTTATAGTATGCCACCAATCACAATATGACTTGATTAAGATTGGTGTAGAAAATATGGGCCCTCTTCTCATGTCTGCTCGGCAGCTTTGCACCACATTGTCAGCCCAGAGCAGTAGATCTGGCCCCTTAGAATTCCCCTTAGTTAAGGGGACTGTCTAGGTATCATAGAACTGGTGTAGTAGTTCCTATGTTTTCCACATGCCCCCTTTTTTCTGCCCTTGGGCCTCCATTTCAGCAGTCTTTTGTGCAGAAAAGAGCATCGTTTTGGCATTCTTAAACTGCAGTGATCCCTAGCTATTGGAATGGTCCCTTTGGAGAACTGGAAGCCCGACATAAGTTAGATTTGCCAACAGGTGCAACTTGGCTGGAGTAGATATTCTAAGCTTTGTTACTTCAATATCCTGATTTGTGCAGTTTAAAAACAAAACAAAAAACCCTTTCCTGTATTATTGCCTTATTGTAACATTTGCATGCAGGTGTGGCACAAATTTTGTATTCTTCAAATTCCATAATGCTGGAATTTAAGGATAAATTTGTACACGCAATTGCTCTTTTGTACAACAGCTGGGCAGTTACTGGCTCAGTTGCTCATTTGTCCTTGCAGAAAGGCAGATCTAGCCTTTCAAGAATATGAATTTCATACTTTGATTTCCACACATACACTTTTGCTCTGTCTACTTAAAATTTGCCATAAATTAATATTTGGTGATAAAGGATGAGATGACACTAATAGAATACGTCTTAAAAGTTATAAATAAGTAAATACCTGTTATGACACAGATCAATAAAAGTCAAGGCAAAATAAATCTAAACACTTTTAAGTTCCCTAAGATTCCAGTTCTGTTCACAAATTCATTGTAATGGATGAATAGTCAACCAAAACTTTATTTCCTTATTTGCTACTAAATGCTTGTTGTTACTTATTGATTTTGGGTTGACCAGAGTTTTCGTAGGCTTCAGTCCAATACTGGGAGTGAGAAGTTTGAACAACAATTAAATGGCATGTGACTTGAAGTAGGAAGCTTCCCAGGCATCCACATCTTTTGGCTGTGGATGTTGCGTAATTACGCTGGTTAAGATGTTAGCTACTTTTCATTTCTATGCAGCAATGCATTGTGCAGTATTTTGAAGAGAAATACATGTGTCAGTCACGGATTAGTTATTCTGACCTTCTTTGCCCTACGCTATAACTGATTCAGATCACATTTCAGTGATTTTAAAAATTACCACTTAGACTCAGAGAGTCTCTGTAAAATAGAATTAACTCAAAACAGATTTTGGCAATTGCATTGAAGTGCAATCCTTTGGATGCTCAGGACAGCTGACAACTGTCTTCTGTAACTGAAGTGTTTTTGTTTTAATTTATATGCTAACAAAACCTCTTCTGCTCTTTCTCCTAGATGGTGATGGAGCAAGGGGACTGGCTTATTGGTGGAGATCTACAAGTCCTTGACCGTATTTATTGGAATGATGGTCTTGATCAATACCGTCTCACTCCTGCTGAACTAAAGCAGAAGTTCAAAGAAATGAATGCTGGTGAGTCTTTTGTAGCTGTATCCTAGTATTCTCCATATTATCCAGAAGTTTACTACTGCAAGACTGAATGGGCTTCTTGCCCAGTAGGGACAAACATCATTTGTGGGACTCGTACTTTGAAAATGCTTTCTGTATCTTGGAAAACTTGAAATTCTGTCTTCTAGATGGAAAATGGACAGACATATTTTTAAAAATGTGGGTGAGCTGTGACTTGCCTAAGGCATCATAGCAAGTCAGTGACCATTGAAGTCCTGTCTTCCCAGTACCCTTCAGAAACCACTAAACAGCTGCTCCACAACTACATTCCACAACTCAAGAAAAGAAGGTAACACTAGATTGTGGTGCAGCATGATTTTAAATAATCATAAGGTAGATGTACACTAAACCTCTCCCCAGTATGTTCCCAGATGGATAAGAGTACAAGTCTGATTTTTTGTTTTAATTCAGTTCTTCAGAAAGAATTCACTAAGCCATTGAAATATTGAGCCAAAAAGGTAATCTTCAAAAACAAGAAAGTGCCTTTTTTCTCCTTCCAGATGTATAAAGAGAGCTTGACTGTTTTCAAAACTCTCTGCTTTTGTTTGTTAGAAACACACACACACACAATTAGAGGACTGGATTAGCTTGACTAACTAAAAACTGAAATCTGAACTAGTTGGAGGAGAGGAAGCTATTTTTTGTCAGGCTGTCTGAAACTGTGTGGGTGTGTTAATACCTATGAAACTCAAACTCCTGACAAACTCTTGATGGGATGGAGAGTGGATACGTGGCTTTTTTTCTGTGAAAGATTTGACATCCCTGATCTTTCAGTTGAATGCCAAGAATGTTCCTGCTTCAGTTCCCTAGTCCTCAAAGAAGTCCTACTGCAAAAACAGGGAAGACAGTTGGTATTTCTTATGGCTTGAAGGGCAAAGAAATAACCCTTTCTTGAAAATAAAATCTTTCAGACCTCTTTTGTACATCATAAAGAAGCCAAAAAAGCAAAAGTATAGTTTTTTTTGCAGGTCACCTTTGATGACTGCCTTTTAAACGAGCCAGATATTATTGGTGTTCTGTGTGTTTAATTCTTTGGAATGCCTGTTTAGTGTTTTTCCTTACATATTATCTTCATTGCCTTTTACACTCTTTTTAATTAAATCTATTCCATGCTGCTCTTTGGGAACAAAACACACAAGCTTTGCAAGGAAACTAGCCTAACAAAAGGTATTAGAATTCTTTTGAAAGTATTTGGGATCCAATTACTAGCTTCACATCAGAGAAAAGTAACCACCGTATGTTAGTTTATTTGTTTTCCGTTTTTAGAAGTTCGTGTTAGATAAATAAGTAACAGACCAAGTGGTAATGGCTTGGCAGTATAGTTGTTTGTTCTTTGCGCTTTTAGCAGAGCAGCAACAAACAGGCTGCTAAGAAAGCACTATAAGGTGTGGGAGAGAGAGGTGAAAGATGGAACCCAAATCAGCTAAGGCCTGGGTTTCTGTTTTATAATAAAGTAAATTGAATTTCCCATATATACAGAGTTTGAGATATAGAATCCTTACTTTAACTCTTAGTTATCTAGTGAGCAGACAGACAGTTGTCTGACACCTGAAAGACCTGTTACCCTGTTGTTCATTATTTCCTTATAACAAGGTGGTAGTGCTACTGTGCAATCATGCGTGATCCTCATGTCCCTCATTGATTTTCAGTGGAAGGAAAAACACCAGGTTTTTTTGGTTTGCTGTATTATTGAAATGACTTTAAGGTAATATTAACTCTAGTCTACCTGTGTCAGCTGCTTACACTGCATAAACTCTACTATGATGATTAAAGGTGGAAGAGACGTATTAGATTGTGTCAAATCCCTTTGTAAAAGGTAGGCTACATTCCTTTTACAGTGGGGGCAGGAGGAAGGGAGGGAAGGGGCAGGAGGCAAGGTGGGATATTAGAAGAATTTTATTGACATCTCAGATGTTCTGAAGACTGTGTGCTTCCTCAGGTTTATGGTCCGGTTATTTTGTAGTCTAGTTCATTAAGACCTCCTTGTCCAAAGAACTTTCATGTTCTGGGATCACTGATGATGTGATGCCTGTTTGGTAGAGTTCAGCAGAAAGCTACTGGATTTGCATCATTCTGGCAGCTTTATATTCAACAAATGCCATTGCTGTTGCGTATGGAGAAAAGTTTGTGTATTCTAGATAATAGGGGTGCATGGGTTCATGTATTACATAACATTTTCTTCTGTGAATATTATGTATACCTAAAACAAAACCAATATCTTCAATTTCATCCAGAATCCAATAGGTAGAGCCTTGAGGAGATACAAAATTTATATCCGCGGATATCTGTGGAGTTGCAAGGCTCTACCTGTAAATAAGCAAGACCATCAGGGCTATGGCCAGCAACCGTGCCAGGAACTGTAGCAGCAATAGCAGCAGCAGGTCAGGCCGCCACTTGCAGGAGCCAGTGCCCAGCCTGGGCAGCTCTTCCGGCATGGCTGTACGGCCCCTAGCCCTACCCACTGGGGCGAGCACCAGGTTCACCAGCAGCTATCCCTGGTCACGCTAGTATATGCAAGTGGCTAGCACGCTCCCAGACAGGAGACGCAGACCACTGTGTGGAAGGGACCGTGGGACCAGCCAGCTTTCTGTGGACCATGATTTGAGAACCTCTTGGTAACCAGTGCAGATCACTGATCACGGCTGTAATATGCTCTTGGAGAGATTCCCCACTCAATAAGCAGACTTGTTTTTTAGTCTGTTTTTCTGAATATATGTAGGGGGGAGTAGCTCTGTGGAGAGCTCATTGCAGTAATCTAATTTCTGAGTGACTAACGTAACTGTATAGGCAATCCATTATTGACACAACTTGATAACCAAAACCTGGACTTATTTTTTTGCCTCTGCCCTGTGAGTAAGGTGTGACTCCGTGCTGTTTGGCTAGTTCCAAAATGCTGATTAAAATACATAGAGCACTGATCACAGTTTAACATTGTTGAATCATGCAGCCTACTGCTCATGGTCTGAACTTCGCAAAAAGTAACTAACCATTTTGGCCCTTTTTTTCTTCCTATAGATGCTGTTTTTGCATTCCAGTTGCGCAACCCAGTGCACAATGGCCATGCTCTGTTAATGCAGGATACCCATAAGCAGCTTCTAGAACGGGGCTACCGGCGTCCGGTTCTGCTCTTGCATCCACTTGGTGGCTGGACAAAAGATGATGATGTTCCTCTGATGTGGCGTATGAAGCAACATGCGGCAGTACTGGAGGAAGGAATATTGAATCCAGAAACAACAGTGGTGGCCATATTTCCATCTCCCATGATGTATGCTGGACCAACGGAGGTAGATAAATTGTGAGAGTATAAAAACAATTCCAGTGTTAGTCTGTAATGTTTTGTATTATTGCGCTGTGTATTATTGTGCTGTGGTTTGTTTTTTTTTTTTAAACTGGCAGTTGAGCCTTTAATAATAATCTTCTCTTCCTTAGCAAACAGCACCACAGAAATCCCTTTGCTATCCAGGCAAATATCCATGTTTCTATGCAGTAATTCCTGTTTGTTTTAGAGGATTTAAAGTGGGAGATGGGAGACAGAGCAGTGTCAAATTTTTAGATGCCATTTCCTTTTTCACCTTTTCTTTTTAGATGAAGTTATGAAGTCTTTTAACATATTGAATAATTGCCAAAAAACAGATTTTAGAGATCATAGTTTTATGTCCCAATTAAAAATGGGACAGTGGGGTGCGTGGATGGGTGTGTGTCTTTGGCAAACTTAATCTAGGGAGAATTGCTTTACGGCGTTACATAAAAATGATTATGAAATAACTTTTGGCAAGATTTTATTTAGAGGTCTGCATTCAAATTGAACCCTCTAGAGGTTGTGGGATGCAGTGAAGAGAATTAAATGTTGACATTTGGGGGAGATTATTTGACTCAGGGGACATTGGTTCTATATCTCATTATGATTTTTTTTTCTTCGGGCCATGGGAAGTTCAGATCCTGACTAGGTTCACAATAACTGAAATTAACCATCTGATGGCGTTTTGATGGACTTAGTCTAGTTACCGTAGACAGGGAGGCCACATAGCAAAAATCAGCAGTGGCATTTAATGTTCGGTTACCTCTCATTGTTGGCAGGCAAGGTAGTTATGGAGACTGAACTGCCTTTTCACCCACAGAGAAAGGTAGCCCCAGATCAAAGCATGTTAGCTAGGCACCATGGGAAGCTTGAGCAGTTGCTTGCGGTGGATGTGTTGCCACCTTTCACTAAAACTAGTGAAAAAAATCTCTTTTTTTGGCATTAACAATATTTTTGCTTTTGGCTGCTTGTTGTACTCTGTTGTGGTTTAAGAAACCAAACACCCGTAAATTAAGTCGCTTATGAATACAGTGTCCCTGTTTCCAGGTTTTCCAAGTGCATATCTTGAGTGTGTAAGAGGGATTTGAACGAAACGACTCACAACCTTCAGTTGTGATAGTGAATAAAATAAGAAACATCCTCTAATTTATGCAGCATTTCCAATGACCTCAGAAAGCAGCCTGCCAGTAATGTGTTGTAACCAGCTAAGGGGGGGGGAAAAAAAGACACTCTTCCTTTAATCATTTTCTGTAGGTCATTTAGAAGACATTGGTACCAGATTTGTTTCTTTAGTGCAAATGATTTACAGAACAACAGGCAGCTGTTAAGCCAGTATGGTTATCAACAGGATGTACATGGTTTTCCAGTCTGTAAAGATTTAATGGGCATGTTTTGTAGGCCTCAATTTAGCATTTTTGTACTTTAAAAACCTCTTTTTATGGTGTGTTGGGTAACCAGCTAGGAAATTATATTTGCAGTCCTGACAGTTATCTCTGAAGGAAAAGAATCAATTCCAAAAAGGGCAAATGCCGTATAAAAACCTTAACTGCTTCACCCACTGGGGAAGATGAGCACATGCCAAGGTAGGGCCAGTCAGGCTTTTTTGCTGCCCCAAGCAGCGAAGGGGGAAAAAAAATAAAATAAAAAAGCCACAGTCGGCGGCACTTCGGCGGCAGCTCAACCACGCCGCTTTGTTCCTTGGCAGCAATTCGGCAGCAGGTCCTCCTCTCCAAGAGGGATTGAGGGACCCGCTGCCGAATTGCTGCTGAAGTCCTGGATGTGCTGCCCCTTCCCATTGGCCGCCCCAAGCACCTGCTTTGTTCGCTGGTGCCTGGAGCCGGCCCTGTGCCAAGGAATATGAATGCATCACACTTGGACAATAGCTGCTGATTATGTTCTTGCCTCTCACACTTACACTTTATATGATTCTAAAGCTTTTTGAAATTATTCTAATGAAACACCAGTGGTATCCTCCACCACGTCTCATTGTGGCGGAGATTCCTTGGTTGCTATTAGACGATATTAGCTATTAGTATGATAGTATAAAACATAAAATTTTCCTTTAGAGATCAGGAAAAGCCCAACAGCTGTACTGGCCCATCTGCATGTTGCTTGTGTAAGTGATGGTGTGTTTGTGGTGTAAACGTGTAAAATAGCAGGCATGCCTAACAGACTTCAGATGCTTTCTTTGCACCCATAGCCCTCATCAGCAATGGAATCCGGTACATGTGCTGTCTAGCTGTGGTCAAGGTGAAAATTCATACCAGTTGTACAGTGGTAATTCTGTAATTAGTTTCTGGTTCCAATATTTGCACAGTACTTAGATACTATGTGAGCTCCCCTCTTAAATGTTAAATCCTATGTTTCTTGCCCTGTTAACACTGTTAAGATTTGAAGTATAATTTAATGCAGAATACAATGTCATGCATAGTAACTAACACACAGGATATTCATCTTTCAATAGGATATCTGCTTATGAAGCAGCTGCAGAAGCAGGCTCTTGACTCTTAAAACTGTAAAAATGCGAATTTACATTTCTGCATGTAAATGTTTGGAGTAGGAAGATGATTATAGGTGTCTGCAGCAGTCTGTTAAACCTAACTTTTTGCTGACACAATTAATTATTTCTAAACTTGCATGTTTATAATGTCACAGTAACATAACAGTCTCACCCTATGATGGATCTTCTGTATCACTTTTTCTCAGTGGTTGCCTGGTATTTTTCTTTTAAGACATTTTAATTACTGTCTAACTCAATGTGTCTATTTTATGTTATGTATGTTAGTTTATAATGATTTTTATGAGAGGGTAAGAATGCAGTTTTTAAAATTTTGTCTTCACATTATCAAGTGTAAAATTCTGTAAGCTACACTCTTGTAGTCTTAAAAAGTTGCCTGCCCTGCAGGAAATTTTCTAACTTGCAGGGTGAATTCTATTTATTTCCTATAAAAGACACACCCTTCCTCAAGATAGATAGAATTTTAAGGCATCAGGATTGTACACTGAACGAAAATGTGCATATGCACAATGTGCTGTACTTGTTAAGCTGTATTTAATTTCCCCCCACATGTGCACATCAAAAAGATGTTCCGATTAAAGTGCGAAAGTTGACAAACATGAGAACATTTCCCGTTAAGGGGATAAATTGATATCCGCTGAACTTCTCTATCATTTTCAGTCAATTACTTACTATATATTGTACAGCTAAGCCACACACTGAAAATATTACAACCAACAATGGAACAAGAAAATTTGCTTAAGATCTGATGGTATAACTGGTTATCCTAGAAGCCACAGAACTGCTACTTGGTTACAAAAAAATCTAGTTCTGTAAGAACCGAAGATATTTAATTGATAGGTGTTACTTTGTCCTATCAGAGATTACATCATAAAAAGACTCCAAGTGGTCTTACTCATAGCGCACTTAGATTGGGATTTCAAAGGTGAGGGAATTAGGTGCTCAACTTGCAGTGAAATTCAATGGGATTTGGATGCCCAAATCCCTTAGGCTTATTTTGAATACTAGGAAAAATATCTAAAACATACATGGAATCACCCAATATGTTACACTTTGGAATCTGGTAAGTATTACTTGCAATTTGCTATCCACCAATTATGTTAATGAGGATTATCTACAGACAAAAGTTAAATGAGTTCCTCAGTTCTCTGAAAACAGTTCTGTGTTTGGCTGTAGAGGAATGTCAGTTCTGTTTAATGTGGCATAGTCTGTACACAGAATTTGCTTTTTAAAGAAAAAAAATTCTGCCTTCAATAAATAGCTTAGCTATAGGGGGAAAAATGTGGCAAAGTTGAGCTGATGGAATGAGTGAAGCACTTATAACTATGAACTTTACAAAAAGTAATGTAGAGAAAAAAAGTTGATATGTCTCAGTTTTTAATATGTGTGAGTGTATATAAATGCATATTAAAAACAAACAAACCCCGAAATATGTTTTAATATGTCAATGCTGCTTTAAGATTGAAATTTTAACAAAAAGTCAGGAAATGCAATGGTAATGCTTCTAATAAGTGTTGTTTCCTCCCTTTTTCATTCAGGATATATTTCAGTCTAACAAGTAATCAGAAATAGTGCACAGATGCAATATGGCTATGTTTAAAATTGCTGTGGGAACTGTAACTTTCACATTTTCTAGCTGTTAAGATTTGCAGTTTTAAAACTATTTCTCTTGATGTAGGTGAAGTAATTGTAGTAAAGTTCTATTCTTTTAAGTTCCTGAATCTTTCTCTCGACAACCTAGTCTGCCTGAATATATTGCTAATAGAAATAGCAGTGACTTTGGAAATAGACAAAGGTACAGTATTTCTAGTGTATATGACATGGGGAATACCCATCTTCTAAGACTCTAAGGGACAGATTTTTCAAAAGAGCTCAGCATGCAATAGCTCCTGTTTAAACACCTAAACAAAGTGGACAGATTTTTCATTTGTGCTCAGCATCTGTTGAGACTAATGGGAGCTGCTGGGTACTGAACACTCTTGAAAATCTTGCTACTTCATTGAGGTACCTAAATAGGTGCTGAGCTCGTAGAACAAATAGCCTCAATTTTGAGTACTGAACACTTCAGAAATGGTGTCCCTACATCTTCTGGATCTTTATAAGAATGGCCATAATGGGTCAGACCAATGGTCCATCTAGTCCAGTATCCTGTCTTCCGACAGTGGCCAATGCCAGCTGCCCCAGAGGGAATGAACAGAGCAGGTAGTCATCAAGTGATCCATCCCCTGTCGCTCACTCCCAGCTTCTGGCAAACCAAGACTAGGAACACCATCCCTGCCTATTGTGGCTAATAACCATTGATGGACCTATCCTCCATGAATTTATCTAGCTCCTTTTTGAATCCTCTTATAGTCTTGGCCTTCACAACATCCTCTAGCAAAGAGTTCCAGTTGACTGTGCGTTGTGTGAAGAAAGACTTCCTTTTGTTGTTTTAAACCTGCTGCCTATTAATTTCGTTTGGTGACCTC